AGCCATCCATTTTCATCATATCCCTCGTCCTGGTCCCCATTCTTCCTCCATTGTTTCAACGTTTGCCGTGCACGAAAGCGCATTCTCTCTTCTTTTTCTTCTCTTCTCTCTCTCTCTCTTTCTCTGTTTCCTCCCTTTGCTTACGATTCGTGTTTTTGCTGAAAATAGAACGGGGTTCCGAAACGTTTCGATCAAACGTGACGGTGTTTCTCTCTCTCTCTCTCCGTCTACTATCTCCACGGTGTATTCCATTCCATCGCGATAAGCTTAGGCGGTTAATTTACCCCCGGGTCCCTTTTTGCCAATTAGCTAATCTAGGCGTAATCTTGGGTCTCGAGGAATGCGAATGAGAATATTGATCAGGAGTGAAGACGTTGTTTGAAGGGATTGTTCGAAAGTTCGAAGGCAGGCAAAGTTGTATCTCCTCCGATTGTCGAATAATACTTTTTTTTCGAAAGAAAGGTTATCGGTTTTCATTTTAATACGCTTGCTACGTGGAATCGTGTGCCCTTCAATCCGAATTTCCTCGGCATTAAAAAGTAAAAATATTCGAAGAAAAATATTGGCGAAATTTCGAAATTTCTTTTCCTTTCAAAGAATGATCCGTTATCCCGTTTCAAGCTCATTAAGATCGGTGAGGAAGGAGGAAGTTTAATTGGCAGGGTGATATAAGAATTATGAGAAAGAAGTCGAGGAGTAAGTGATTATTCTTATCAATTCTGGTAGAACGAAAAACGAACTGGAGAAGAATATATTATAATGGATTTATAAATGGTGTGGACAGTTTCAAAATGGTGCGAAAAAAAAGAGAGAGAGTTTAAGGATTTTGCATTGCTGTCGAGGAGGAATCTTTGTTCTTCTCCCATAAGGCGACGTCCTTCCCGAACGGCGATTTAAAAGGTTCAAAGATTAGGGCAAACGTAGCCTGTAAATATTTGTCCACGGTACTTGACACCGATCCCGAAGCCGTGTTTGAGAGGCTATACAGCCAATAGCTTTTCAAGTTTAGTTTTCAGTTTACCTTTTCCAACGCGGGCCCCTCCGCGCTCGCTCCTCCATTGTTTTTCTTTCCCTCGCGAGGACGCGGTATTTCTGCACTCCTTCTGCAAAATCGAACACGTCACAAGGTTACCTCGATCTATTATAGATCCTGCCCCACCCCTTTCGCTTTATTATTCGCGAAAAGAAGAAAAAAAAACACTTCGATTAAAATCGAATTTTAATTAGCAAACGAACACGCGACGCCTACCTGACGTGTTCGATCACTGTTCCTTCCACTTTTTTTGGAAAATTCCAAAGAAGGAGCGGAAGCCTATTTTAAGAATAAAGCTTAAATTCACAATAAAAGTGAACTCTACTTCAAAACCCTCTTTTTGGACAATCTTTGTTAACAAATCGGGGAAAATGAAGCGATGTATTCAAAGGGGGGGTAGAGGAGCCATTAACAAACCGTGGAAGGCGCGAGAGAGATGGAGCAATCGGCGGATGCTCGCGACCTCGAACGGCTGGCTCGCATCTACGGTTCCACCATAAACCACCCCCGCGACTTGACACTCCAGGCACGTAGTATAATTCTTTGCTCCCCCGCCTCGCCCCTCTTCCACAGAGGGTCCGCAATATAACCACCCCTCCCCTCGCCTTTATCCTCTCGCGTTTCCTCCTCGTCCTTCTCGCGTCCTCCTCCTTCGTGTACTCCTCGTGGAAACACGATACTCATGGAAGAGTGCAATGTTTTCCTGCGAGTCGGTGTGCGTTTCATAGCGCGTAATTCAAAGTCGAGGAGGCACGCCTGTACGAGGATTTTGGGCGATGATTGTGGAAAAGGGTCGACAATGACGTAGGCTGGAAAATGAATTTATGGAATTTTTTGTCATGGAAAACGATTGATCTTTGGATCGGTATGAAGGGTTAATGGCGACGCATACGGTTTTATCTAGGAATTTTTATCGTGAAACTAAAATAATAAGCGTATATTTAAATGAAGAATTATTAAACCAATTATTAATAAAACCTCTCTTACTAAATTTAACGAAACTGGTGATCCTATGTTAGATGAACGTAACATAGTAAAGCTACTGAAGGTATAAAATTAATCATTCCTTTATTAATTAATCGACTATTTTTGTTTGTCTATGAATTGAATTAACTAAAAAAAAAAAAATAAATAAACCAGAAGAACTTAATCCATGAGCAATTATTATTACATATCCACCAATTAAACTTAATTTTAAAAAAGTTAATATTCTTATAATTAATAACCCTATATGAACAATAGAATTGCAACAATTGATTTTATATCACATTTGACACAAACCCCTATTAACCTCAATAAAATCGTCAGCAATTGGATTTTATCAATCGATAAGTAGAATTATAGATTTCTTTTCGAATCGCGAGGTTTGGACTCGAATAGTAGAACATCAGTTCCATATATTGGTTTTTCATCTATCTGCCAACCTTTGAACCGCGGACAAAGACAAGACGGTGAACCTCGACACGACGAATTTTCACTATATATATATAGTATTTCGTGGTCTCGAGTTCAAATCAAGTTTCGATCCGATTTTGCAACATCTCCTCGAACTTTAACTCTTTCGTACCTCGCCATTCTACATTTAATTGTCATACATATATTTAGTGAATAAAAATAATTCCAGGGACTGTCTTTAAATATAGTCGATCTTCGAGAATGTTCAGAGAAAAATTCGGTGAATTTGAGATCGTGTCGAGGAACCACCTCCCAGTTTTTTTCAACCTCGAGCAGAAGCACGAGTCCGCGCCGGTATCGCGTCGTGTTGCATTAGAGAGGCGACGAGGCGGCACACGCCATCGTCGTCCTCGGGGCTTCTTCCATTTCCACCGGTCCTGTGCCGCTCGTCCCTCGACGACCCGTTTCCAACCCCCGCCTCGAACGCCCCCACTCGATGTGATGCATGTCCTTCGTTCTACTTCTGTAACCGCGTTTCGCTCTGCTTCGCTCCAAGGCCTCGCTCGCGGACCAACCCCTTTTCCTTTTCATCCTTAAACCGTCTGCGTTCGGTATTTCCGCCCTGATCGATTTTCTCCCCGCGTTTATTCCTGGATTTCGTCCGTATTCGTCTTTTCTCTCTCTCTCTCTTCTTCGTTTTCGTTTCGTCCCCTCCCTTCGTTGGAAGATTATATCGTTGAGGCTGGAATTAAAAGCGAGTTTAACTTCAAGATTTTTTTGCTACTTTAAGAGGATTTTGGATTTAAATTTAATAATAAAAAAAGAAAAAAAAAATCGTTCAATTTCGAATGAAAAATGGTAAAGGTATGTAGTGTTGTAGTATATATTTGAATATAATATTTGTATTATTTAGTATTTATATGGTATTATTATTATTATTATTATTTATGATGTTTAACTGATGTATAATTATATTTATCGAATACGAAAATGTTCATCAATTTCTTTTAATTAAATTATAATCAAATTTGCACGAAAACTTTTTTGATCCCTTGATCTTTTTTTTATAAAATAGAGTAATCGATTATTAACGATGATACAAAAGCCATTTCTTAATATATTTGTAATAATAAAATAGCTTTTTCTAATGTTTAAACTGTAGCCAGTTGTTCAGATAATTTCAGATAATTCGATTATTGAAATTCTCTTTAATTGTTTGTATCGATATTAGCAAGTGCATTGAATTATGAAGAGTTGTGTTTCAATTCATCTCTATTAAAAAATAAAACATCGTGAAAATTGCAATTTGAAATTTACAAGAACAATTTTCACCAACGCTTTCGCCCTTATTATTGATGATTCTTATTGATGGGAATATTTCCAAGAATAATCTCGGATATGTGAAATAGAAAATGTGTAACGATTTATTTAAAACGTTACTTTTTTTTTAAGAAACTTACAGAATTTCAGAAACCTTTTGCTTTAAACAATTTCAATCTTGCACTCGAATTTAAGAAGGTTACCAATCAACTCGGAATTATTTTTCACATTCGATCAAGAATGAAAACATTTTTCAATACATTACAAGTTTTAGTAGAAAAAATTTGGAAAATACACAAATTTTATCTCCATCTCAAACCATTGATCAATGAAAATCTATATATATATATATATATATTGATTTTTACAAAATTTTTAAAAAATAAATAAAACAAACTTCTAAATTGGAAGGAACATAGGACACACACGAATAAAAGCTCCAATATTCCTCTCGAAAACACAATCTTGTTTTACAATAGCGAGAAAATATATAATAAAAAAAAAAAACAAAACCGTGAAAGATCGAAAAAGTAAAAAATGATACAAATATAATATTGAAAAAATTACATTTTATAGTTTTGCATTGTATGATATCGTTCAAAACAGTGGCCAATATTTTAATTCTTTTGGTTTGGATGGCTGCTATCTACTCGTCGGCTGTATTTGTGCGTATATAAAAGTACAAAGAAATTTATGTTGTCTTTTATTTTTTATTTTTCTTTGAAGATTTTTTTTCATAAATAAATGATCTCGAGAATAAAATCAATGGCGAGGGTTTCCAAGGGTTAACTCTGTTAACGATTCTATGATGAAACGAAGGGTGAAAAGCGCGTGGCAGTCGAGAATAGGCAAACAATAAGATCATACGTTGCGTTGAATCGTTGAATATTTTTCGACGCGATGATATCGAGCGTGTCGGTATTACCGGGTTCTAATTTCTAATCTCATTATCTTCTAATGTTATTAGAGAGGTTAGATGCGTTAGAATATCTTCAATTATTGATCGAACTCGTATTTCGATATCGAAATTTGGCAAGTATTCGGTTCGAGCTAACACGAAAGGTTACAAGTTTGGAAAGAGAAAAAGTTTAAAAATTATAATTATTACAATGATGCGTCATAAAAGCATTGGCAAACTTGCGGCGATGTTCGTTTCAGCAGATTAGATGTATTTGTTCCAAATCAAAAGTCTTAGGACGTTTGTTATATTTTTGACAAAATTTCGAAACAAATAACTTTGCTTAGGAATTAAAAGATTGTTTAGAAGATTTTTAAATATAAAGTAGAATTCAAATTTTTGAAGTTTCGTTTCAATGATGTACAGAAGATACGTATTCTATTCCAGTTTCTCTATTTCGATGTAAATTTTGTATTTGTGTATGGAAAGAACCATGAACGTTTTGAAAAATTCACGGTTTACCTTCAACTGTTTCGCAAACATCGTGTATTCTACATTGCAAATCAACCACGTGTCTCACTTGCGCAAATAACGTAACCTCTTCTATCACTTTTGACATCAATTCAATCTTGCATCGAGTGACCCATCTCTCAATCATAGTCGATATACATCAATTGATTTGTTAAAAATTGTTATTTCATTAAACAATTCTCTAATTATTTTTATTCCTAATTATTAAAATCATCTTCGATTCGACCAATCTTCATCACTCTCGATCACACACATATTTGCTTCCATCGAAATCAAAACGAGATAGATTAATTATCGCCAAATTGTGTGAATAAAATATTAGATACTCGGGAAGAGAAACGGATCAGAACTCGGTTTCGAAGAAGAGAGGAGAAAAAGATGCCCCAATCTGAATTTTTATTCGACGCCAGAAAAGCGCGTGGTTTGGAAGAACGAATCTGTCAAGCTTGGGGAGAAGAATAGGATGGAAAAACGAAGTGATAGGCGATGGAAAAAAGTGCGATCTTGGCTCGAAGCTATTGACTTTCCTTAAGGTAGGTATTACCACTCTTGGATACCACGAGGCCTGTCTCTGGTGAGGAAGAGGACTCTACCTACCCTTCTTCTCTCCTGTAACAGCCTCGTCCAGGAGTAGGTGGTCTCCAGCCTTGGTGCGGAGGATCTCGAAACGCAGATACGGAAGGGGAGTGTTTTACGTGTAGGTGGATAGGATAAGACGTGGGTAGTTTCGAGTCCCAGATACCAGAGTTAAGGAAACTCTTGGTCGACACAAATCTCTCCGCGGGAAAAAACGATTCTTCTGGTCGGCCGGCCTATTCTAGACGCGGCTTTCTCGTTTGTAATTTCGAGGGACTCGAAGGACTAATATCTCACTCTCTTTCCCGCTGAGGATGCTCCCTTGACCTTAACTCCTCTTCGCTTTAGATATTGCCAAGGTGAAGTCCTTATAGAAACTCCTGGAAAAAAGATAAGATACTTTTGCTGGATAGTTTGTGTCGAATGCTAATGGATGATCTTAACACGATCGAAGAAGAATAGAGTTAAAATAATTTCTTATTAAAAATATTTATATGAAATATGAAAAGTTACTTAAAGTTACGATCTCATTCGCTGTTATAACGTTATATTCTTACTCGTTTAATCCAAAGAGAAGAGATTCTCAGGAGAATACCGATCAGGTTATCCGGCTACAAAATCGTTTGTACGGGAAATCCGCCAATTATTTCGTCCATGCGGCGTATTTAGAATTCTAACCTAACAGAACGTTCGGAACTTCGATACCATTCGACGGTCACAGAATCCATCGATACCGCCCCGTAGTTGCAGAATCGATAACTTGGTTGCGTCCTCGTTCGTTATGCACCTTCGAGATTATCGGTGTATTCCTTTTGCCATTAGCGGGATGAGGGAGAAAGAGAGAGGAAAAGGTAGAATCGATCGTCTGCCAGGCTTCTGGATGACCTGGGATCCGTAGTCGCGATAGCGTTGCTTATCGATTACCGTTAAGGGTGGTCGTTAAACAAGTTACCTACCTACTTCTCGAAGGTAACAGTGCTCCACGTTCAATCTTCTAAATAGGTATACCTCTTCATGAATCGATGATGTTCAGTTCGTACGAATAGCGAAGGATGATATTTGCACGAGCGAAATTTTGGATAATTTTAGGTTAAGTATTGAAAGATGAAATAATACAATAAAGATTTTTCATATTCTTTTTTGACGGTAAAAGTAGCATGACTAATAATTCATCGTGCTGTAATTTTATACTTCCAAATTTCGAAATTCAAATCTTTTCCGATAGCAACATTATACACGATATCGCGAACCGATTTCAGCAAAGCCGAACGAATAGATAAAATCGGAAAACTAATCCGTGTTCCATTCTCAGTATAGATAATCAATATACTATGAAATTTTTACCAAACTGATTTTTTCTTTCCAACGAAATAAGATAATCATAATTTCACAGACCTCTGATTGAAAAATTCATTGTAGAACGTGTGAATACGTTTAATCAAGTCCTCGAGAGTTTTTAGAATCACGGCTATTCATTTTCCATTGTTCTTTAAATCCGAAATAATTCAATCTAACCTAACCTCATAAGTGTGCAACCACTGTGATATCCAAGCTCTTAAAGCAATGTAGATTTTCACGAAATACCGAGAATCCACTCAATCTCCAGTGTCAACAATTGAATTCTCTGTTTTTAACAAGCTCTCGTTCGCCAAAATCCACAAAGTTTTACACCACAGGTGCAAACGACCACGTGTACGCGCGCACCAGTTTCGTCGATACAAGCGACACGGTGTGCACAACGAGAAACAAGCGAAACGAGAATAAAGAGTGGGGGAAAGTGGAGGAAGCAGAGTCCTCGAAGACGAGTGGTTTTGCGACGAGGAGTCAGAGTAGTGCCGAATAGAACATAGTCTGCCATTACCGTACTGGCTCTCGGGTAATGAAGGCGGCACCGGTGTCGACGACGAGAACGATGCTGCCGGCGTCGGCGTAGGGTGCACCGGTGCAAAGTAACGGCGTGATCAATGCCGCAACGCTAATTAATTAACATTCCCTCGCGCAAGAGGTCTCTGGTAGACACACCTATACGCGAGAGAGGAAAGCGCCCTTTCTCTTCGTTCTGCCACGGTTAGCGCTATTCTCCCTCCCCTTCTTGCCCCTTTTGCCTTCGTGTACCGTTTCTCTTGGGTTGCATATAGTTGTCTCTTTTCCTCAAACGCGATCAACTTACACCGACGTACTTACTCTCGACTCGCTGCTGTTTCTCTCTCTCCTCTTTCTCTATATATCTTTCGCTTTCCATCTCTAGCGTTCTGTCTCGCTCTCGCTCTATCCTTTTCGTTCTAGCAACTTTAACGCCAACGATCGTTACCGTACCGCGATAACGACGACGCCGACTACGGCTACCAGCCGGTAGAAATATTCCTGAGAGGATTATTTCGTGGCGAGCCGAGAGACGAGGTCTCGTGCCGCGGCGAAACTGGATACGTACGTAAAGCGTACGAATTGGAGAGATTCGGAAGAATTAAAAGTCACGTTGCGGGATCGAAGAAATGCGTGTGTTCTTACCTAAAGATAGAAAACGATACAAGATGATGCAAAAAAATTTTTTAAAATCTCTTTTCTTCTTTAATTCTTGATAAGGTAAAAATAAATTGATTTTGATTAATCAATTCGCCATATAGTTAACGGTATAAACGTAATGGGGCCAGTTCGGTGACTTCGAAGTTAAGTAAAGCACCGATCGATAAGTATTTCCGGAAAAATAAAACCGTGAACACGAAGCAATCCCATCAAATTTCTATCTTTCTCTCTACTCGAAGCCACGAAATAACTCAAAATATCGATTCGACGAAATAAAGTTTGCTCTTTTGCGAAAATATTACAATCGGACAATTTAAATTTTAACTAATACAGATAGCAAAAAAAAATTCGACCAACATACGACACATATATTTTCCCCTACCACCAATATAAACCATCGGCCAAAAAAGAAAGAAATTATTCGAAGGAATCCTTTACTCGGCCAACGAAAACACGGTCCCACGAAAGAGGAGGCCGCTTGATCGTTCCTCTTCAAAAATGAATCTGTCTATTTGCTTAAAAGCGAGTCGGGCTCTGCCGGCTTTTTCATCCGTCGCCTGACTATTTCACGAGGCAATCCGCTTTCGCGCGAACCGATAGCGACCGTTCGCTTAGACAGACTTGCTTGCCCCACTCGTTCCTCTCTCGTAGGATTAAATCGCGTCTCATCCTCCGGGCTACCGGTCGATATCTCTGCCCGATGGAAGAACGTTGACCAGGAGGACGACGAAACTAACCAAGGATACGTTTTCCGCATATGCTGTAGCGCGCGCGCGCATCTCTACTTTCTCCATGCATATACACGTATTGTAACATCAAAGACAGTAAGACAATTAGACAGTAAGAGATTTACAATGCAATTTATTCTTCGAAATCGATGATCGAATTTAAGAATTTTAGGGATTTATAATTCCAAAATTTTTTTTTCCGCAGAATGGAAAATTCGTACGAAATCGAATTCGATATTGAATTGAAGTATGAAGAAAACGAACCGAGTTCGTTAGCTACGTAATTTTGGCGCTAAAGTCGAGTATCTTTTAAAGTGGATCAAATTTTTGACTTCGCTCTTCGTTCTCTCGTACCCAGAAGCAAGTTGAGTGAGTGAATTTAGTTGAATAGTCTCTTCACTTCACCAATGTTCTACCACCATACTAGGAAGCTTTATAAGAGATAGAATATCAGTTTCATATTGGTTTTTGATCTACTCGCTAAGGTAGAAATCCCATTCGGCCTACCCTACCACCAGTCTCTCGAAAGTAGGACAGCGAAGAAGGATTCTCGCCGCGAGCGAGACAGGGCAGAGGGAAGGTGCTGTGGATTTTTCCGACGTCAGAGTCAGAAAAGAGCGCGCCAACGTTTCCACTCGCGATGAAGTCTCGCATTATTGGAACCGTGGAAACGCTTAACGTGGCTAAATTAAAATCGCTTCGGCGTATCGCTGCTCCATTGTTTCAATCGAATCGATCCTCCTCGATACTTGATTCCGTGATGTATAACGCGATTAATTAATTCCCCCGTGTTTATATTCGCGGATTCGATGAAATGTGTATTGCTCATTTGACGCGGCACCTAAATAAATCAAAATTCGCATTTTTTTCTTTTTTATATATTACAGTATACAAAATTAAATTACAGAAGTCGCATAAAGTGGTGGATCTTCTCGAACATCCAAAGCAAACGAAAGATCAATTTTTGAACAAAATTTCTAAGAAGAAGGAAGAAAGGGAAGTTTAATATTCCTTTCAACATTCCTGGAGCAATTTTTTGATAAACGCGAAGCCTAGGAAACCAGTTAAGGGATGAGGGTGACATGCCTAGATCATTGTGTTACACGACATTGTGTTAATCGTTCAGGACTCGTTAATCCGCGCGAGGAGGAATCACGGGGGGAGGATCGGCTCGAAGGAGTTTCAGAAAATCGATCAGGCCTCCTCCGTCTCTCCTCCACCGTGCGTTGCTCCGTGAACCGGTTTAAAGCAGTTCGACGCAGGGTGGTTTTACTAATTGGTGCTGAGCATCGATTACCAACCACCTTTCCCCTTCGCCCGTCTCCTGCCCGTGTCGATGCAGCACCGCGTCGTTCCCTCTTCAATTTCTCGGCCATATTCGAAGAAGCCTCCTTCCTTCGCCTCCTCGTTTCGCCCTTATCGATACCGCGTGCGATCGAACGTGGATAATTTCTCTGTTGAATAACCAATCGATAATACCAACCAGTTGTTTTAAGGATTATATATATATGTTGTTTCGTAAAAATCGTTTTCGAATATTATCGTTACGTGTATGCAATCACGCGGAGTGGTTTGGAGAACAGAGAGGAGGACAATTTCTGGCCGATCGATGATTTCCACTCCGTTACGTAATACGTTGTTTTGTGGGCATTCCCAGGTTTGTGGAAATGGGAAGAGGAGATGCGCTCGTTCGGGGTTGGAAAATTCGTGATCGATATGAAGTACGGTGTTCAATCTATTTTTGAAAATTTTACTTCTTTTATTGGATATGGTTCATCTTGAAATTTTGCTAGAATACGAGGTTTTTTTCGCTACGACGTTCTCAAGAAACTACGCTACGAAGCCAGTTTATCACAAAATACTTCTTCTTCGTCTCGGCTTCATTGTCACGGTGGGGGGTGACAGGCGTCAAAACTGGGACAAGTTTGCCCGCCCAGTCGAGTCCCGCAGTCGTTAGAGGGTTACTCGGAGCGAGATAGATGCGGTTGAAGCTGGAACGAGGCGTCGTGCACTTCCCGCGCCACTTTCTTATTCATAACCGTGATCCGCTCGAGGTGAAGAGATTCTGCGCAAAGACTGCGCCGTGGAAAAGAAAATCACGGGCTCGATATCGAGGGGTGCACAGAATCTCGGCACGGAACCGGCGATTGCCGCGAAAACAAAGAGAGCAGCAACGCCTACGCGATAATTAATACGCGGTCGAAGATGTGTACGAGGTGTTCTCGGTGGAAACCGAGAGAAGTGATTAATGACGACGAGTTTGCCGGCCTTCTTCCACCCATTGTGGCCGGACTAATTATGTCCTGGCCTATCGGACGGTCAGAAACCTTCCTCTCCGTATGGATGCGAATGAACTCTGAGATACGAGGCCATTAAGAAATGACTAGCGTTTAACTCTCGTCACTTTTGTTTATTTTTTTTTTTTTGATAGAAGGTGATTTGATGATTTTTTTTTGTTGGAATAGGGGTGTTGAGATTGGAAGAGATTTACAGGGGGTAATTAGGATGACGGTGGATTTGGATTCCATGGTTTAAGCATTTTCGAGCTCTTCTCTGATAAACAAGGATTAATTTAACGACCTGATATCGATAATTTTATCAAACTTAACCTATCACTCTCTGGATTAATCCATATCCATGTTCTACTACTCCAATGATCAATGGTACCTTACCTTTTTCCAGCTTTTAACGATCTGATATCAGTCGTTTTATCAATGCAACAATAACTTTATCAAACTCAACCTACCATTCTCTGGATTTTCCATATCGTATTATTCCAATGA